AGATAACAACAGGGTTTAGTCATCGGTAGGATTCTGGGCGATCCAACAATTCGGGCGACGACTCCTTCGCTCTGGGCGTCCATAGGGTATTTTATTCGCTCAACATCTGGGCGTTCTGAAAGCTTGGGCGACGGCATTCCTTTGTTTGTGGGCTTTTTACTCTTTGCTTGGCCTTTCATCTTGAATTCTCAACTGGGCTTCGCTCTTTGGGCCATTTAATTTGGGCTGCACTTTTAGTGTGTCAACACTTTCTTTAAATATAATGCTCTGTTTGATAAACCACAATTTCCAAAGAAAATGGAAAGTATTTTCCTTTTCCCCACAAAGCAGCCGTTTGATTGTCAAAATTAACCCTGGAAAATATTTTATTAGCCGCCACTTCACGCGCTGATTTTCCTCCAATTGCTGGAAATTGTTTTCCTTCTGTTTTGCTAGATTTTGATTTTCCAGCTTTGCTCTTTTTTTTTTTTAGCAATCGGGAAATTCTAGATACTAGGGTAAAAAAAATTATCACTTTTATTGACAATTTTCATGCAAAACAAAGCCAAACTAATGGTATTCGGTATGGTATTTTAAAAAAAAAAAATTAATTTTTATTTTTATTTTTTGGCAATTGGAACAAATGCTAGACCCAATGGTAAAAAAAGTATCACTTTAATTGACAATTTTCATGAAAAACAATTAAACAAAGTCAAACGGATACCAAACTTTGAACAATTTTCAGGTGGAAAATTATATAAATTAAATACAATTAATTACAGTTCCCAGTAAAATAATTTTTGGGCAATTCAATTCCTTGAAATTCATTTTCTTTCTACCCATTTTCCACATTTGCAATCGAACGGACCCTTAAATGATTGAGACTCGTTCTTGGGAAAAAAATGAGTTTCGTAATAGTGAGAATGTGTTGTTAAAGAGTTGATTTTTATTTTATTTTTGGTTTACGCCTTTACGGTAAAATTATTTTATTAAAAAAATACGTGGTTTAAAATAAATTTGAAAAAAAAATGATTTTTTTAGATAATGGGATTCAAAAATGGGTGTTTCAAGAAAGTCCTCTTATATTTATAGTGTAGAGGGGGATTGAACTATACATATATATATATTTTTTTGGCTATATTCAATGAACATTTATCCTGCATAAATCAACTCTTAAAATACAAAATCCGATATTAACCTTTTCCCTGTGTCCAAGGGCGGATCCAGGACTTCCGCTCAGCTAGGGCGGTCGTTTACCTTCGACAGTTAACGATCATGCAATGTCGTTTATTAATATTCCATTAAATAATATAAATTTTTTTTTTAATCTATATATAAATGCACTAAAATGAAAAAATTATATATTTATATGAAAATATAATTCAGTACAATCCGAAATAATAATATAAAATACACGATACAACCTCACTCTGTAACTATAAGTTCAGACAAATGCATTCTTTGAAGTCTCATATTTTGAAATCGCTACAAGATTGCCTCATTCTCGACTTTTTGAAAAATCTATTTCTCCACGTAAATTTAAAATTTCAATTCAAATTTCAATTTCCAACCCAATTTTATCAAAAATCATAAATTCCCCAATTTAACATTTTCCATTTTCAAAAATCGCAGTACACACTCCTATTAATTTTTAACATCACATATTCTCAAATTTTCAAATAACTTATAATTCATAAATCATAACTCATAAATCAATAAATCATAAAATACCTAAAAACCATTTAAACAACAAAAACGAAAATTTTTTTTTATAAAGAACCGAACAAGAGACTGACCAGAGCAAGCCAGTCGTGGCAATGACAATTGGCTAGAGGGAGAATACCGGAGGCCGCGACCGGCATCTGGAGGTAGGCTGCAGCTGGAGCTTGGAGCAGGAATTTGGTTTGGAGAAGAGGGGAGGATTAGATTTACGGTTGAAATTATTTCCAATTGTTTTAAATGTATATTTGTTTTATATAATATTTCTATTCAGCCATTAAAAAAAAAAGAATCAGCCCAACATGAAAAGCCTACTATTAAAAAATAAAATGGCCCAAACATTCAAAAATGGCCCAACACTTACACATGTCTTCTTCCTTCATCCATGGCGGCAGCTGCTTCCACTTTCCTCTTGAAGAACCAGACCGCCTCTATAAAATTCACTCCAGCAATGCCAGCACGGGCGACCGTGCCCCCTCGCCGGGTGCTGGATCCGCCACAACCTGTATCATAGCATGTGTAACCTCTTTTGGATGTGTTTTTTTAAAAGCATAGGAAGTCTATTCCCATGGGCTTTCGGAATAAAGAAATTCAAATAAACAACCTACAAAGGTTTTAGGCTTTTAGGAGTTAACAACCTACAACTGTCACTGAATTTTATAAAGTGTCACGAATCACTAACTGAACTTTAAGTTGCATCCCATCACTAAGTGAACTTAGTAAAGTTGCACTCCATCCATCATTAGGTTAATTCCGTTAAAATCGATTGCCTACGTAGATGACGGTTTGCACACGTGGCCGTTAAATTAATCCA